CTACATAGTGAGACCCTGCCTCAAAAACACAAACAATATATGTATATATATATATGTATATATATTGAAGTCTTAACCATCACTACCTTCAGCTGTGACTCTGTTTCGAACTAGGGTCATAGACTGGCATGGCACCACACTGTGGAAATCAGTATGGAGATAACCTCAAAAAACTAGGATTAGAGGTCCCATTTGATCCAGCTATTCTCCTGCTGGGTATCTTCCCAAAAGAATTAAAAGAATCCTACCACAGTGATATATGTGCACTCATGTTTACAGCAGCACAGTTTGTAACAGCTAAATGTTGGAAACAGCCCTACTGCCCATCAAGTGGAGACTGGATAAAGAAGAAGATGTTTTAAAAAATAAAATGAAGTGCTACTCAAGCGTAAAGAATGAGAAGCTAGAGACGTTCGTACCAAAGTGGATTCACATTGGGGCAGTGCTCTGAAGTGAGATAAATAGGACACACACGTGTAGACACCGAATCGTTTCTCTGGGGTGAGATGCTGAAAGTGTAAATAAGTATTGAAGTGTATAACAGATACTGCGAAATGGGAAGAAAAGGTCCAAAGGGGAAGGGGAAGAGGGAGGGCGTGGGGAAAGGGAAAGGAACAAATATGAGAAATGGAACTGGGGCGGTTGAGATGTGACGCAGTAGGACGAGGCCACAGTGGAGCAGGGCAGGCCCTTAGCCTGTTACGAGCCGTGTCCTTAGAAGAGGACAAGCCCCTGAATACGGAGGACTAGAGAGATGCACATCTGCAAGCCAAGGAGCCCAGAGATTTCCAAAACAGCCCCCTGAAGTTAGGAAAGGCCCGGAAAGATTTCCATCCAGATTTCGAAGGGATTGTGAGTCTGCCAAAGACTAGATTTCACACTTCCAGCCTCCAAGCCAGAAGAGAAAAATGTTCTGCTCTTTCAAGCCACCCACTTTGTTAGGGCAGCCATGGGAAAGTCAGAAAGGTGACTGCTGCGTACTGAAACTCATTCTAGTGGCTTGGGGTCAAGGTCAAACACGATGCAATCTCATCTGCAGGAACATGCCAGGTGGGGAGAGAGATTGGTTAAGAGGTCTTCACTGTTGGAAGAGCTTTACCAATCCCCAGTATGGACACACACTCTAAGACAGATGAAACAATGAGCTGGAAAAGTGGACACCCACAAACACACACACACACACACACACACACACACACACACACACACACACACACAGTGTCTGATTCTTTAGAGGTCCTGAGATGACAGCTTTGGAGATTGAAAAGATAGTTTGTGTTCATGCTAAAAAGGAAGTGCGATTGTTAGAAGTCAGCATGAGGTCACCAGAAGTGGGGATTGCCACAGGCAGCACATCTCCTCCGACCAGGAAGTCAGGGTGGTGGATGACAAAAGGTAACCACAAAATGTAGCAAGAACTCGAAGAGACACTTCACAGGCATCCTAGTGTTTTCTTTATGGCTGAGCTAGGACTTAGTCAACAGCTAACCCTGCGGAATAGTGGGGCTGACGCCGTCGGGCTGAGGTTGCCAGTAAGATTCCACGAGGCTGTTGCCTAAGTCATTCCGTGGTCAACACTTTTACCCATGACCTGGACAAGGCAAGCACTGCCAAACTTGTGTTGGACAGACCAGCTGACTCTGCGTGCATCCGGGTGTAAGGACTGGGTTCTGGGTTTTCAGTTAAGTACAGTGGAGGGAAGAAGCCACAAGGTGTTTTGCAGGGAGTAACCAGGTCGACGACTGGAATGAGACAGTAACCACATAACAGAAGAAACTGGTGAGGTAAATGAGAATTTTATCTTAAATAATAGGGACCCAAGGAAAACCTAAAGCCAGGAAACGGTGTGTTTAACTTGGATCAAAGTGTGGAGGCCAATGGTATAAATGACAGAAAGGCACTCTCAGTTTGGTATGCAAAGGACTTTTAGGGTGCTACAGCTTCTGCAAAGAAAAAAGTTCTGGCGATGAAATTTGAATGATAGCAAATCTTTTACTTCTCTCCAAGCAATAAGATAGAGCATGAAGCCATAATAGTAAAAAATCATGGCTCTGGCACAGCCACGGGTAAATAAGCCACTGGCACAGATGCAATTTCACAACCACAGACCCATTTCTGAAGGGAGACTCAGTGAGAAGGAGATAGTAATCAGAGTCACGGCAACACGAGCAGATTGTTCTATGGGTGTTGGTAAGGAACCTGCTGGATTTCAAAGGGGAAAAATGCATTTGTAACTTACATAATATATAAAGGTTGGCTTAGGTGGCCTGGAGAATTAAATGTGAAAGATAAAACCTTTAAAATGAATAGAAGAAAAAATGAGAAGTAAATATTGGTGATTTGGGGGACTGGGCAGGACTTAAAACCCCCAAAGCACAAGGTAGAAGGGCAAAATTATTTAACTGTTTTAGAATTGAAGATTTTGAATGATAACATATACAAAATTATCAGATTTCTGACACATTAAGAAAAGGTACTTGCAATGTCAATACCATAAGAGGTCAGTAGATAAACTATACAAAAAATATTTAGACTATACAAGATGTTATTGAAATATAGGGGAATGTTTAGACTTTTAGAAATTATTACAGTAAGAGACACATTATGTGAAATAGGAAGAAAGGGGCTAAAGGTGTAGGGGAGGTGGGAAGGGTGGGAAAAGGAAATAAGGGAAAGGAAAAAATAGGAGAAAATGAAAAAATGGAAATAAAATGTTTGTAAATGGGGAGGGGAGGACGGGGTGAAGGGAGGGCAGGGACAAGGGGAAAAAATGAGAACCAAGACCTGTCGTGTAAAGGCACAAGATCCCAGTAATGAATGTAACTGCGCTGTACACCTAGATTGTACCAATAAACTCAATGCGACACTCGTTAGAAATCCCTTGCAAAATACTCATCTTTGCTTTGAAAACACTCATTGCACAATTCTCATCCCCTCCGGAAGCAGTTCTGGAAGCCACTTTTTGTGTCCAGTTGCACCGTCAAGGCTGATTCTGCGTCCTGGATCAGTTCAAAACATGGACCCCGCGAGGTCATTTGACTTCGGAGACGAGCCAGAAGTCACCCACTGCCAGACACAGTGAGGACTGTGGAGGAAGAGACGCTGAGTAGCACTCGGCGCCGGCATTCATTGTATTTTTTATTTTTTCAGAAATCTTTTTCTTTTTTTGGGACCGGGGATCCAACTCGGGTCCTTGCGCTTGCAAGGCAAGCAGTGGAACCACTGAGCTAAATCCCCGGCCCGTTTACTGTATTTCTAATCACACTTTGGAAAGACACTCACAGAAGGGGACCTCCAGACTTGCTCCAGAAAGTGGCAAGAACGTGGGATATGTGTGTTCAAAGAGAGGCCAGGGTCCTGAGGGAAATGAATGGCAATGTGTCTTTTACTACGGTAATTTTTAAAATTTAAACATTTACTGTGTATTTTTACCGTATCTGATATGAGCAAATCCACAAGTAAGACATAGGAAGCCCATTTGGAAAACAATCCTATCAGCCCGATCTTGTGAGACCTCAGTTTCCCCATTAATTCATTCAATAACTATGTATTCAGTGACTATCAGCTGTGTTTTAGGTATGAGGATATGGCAGACAAAATCTCTACCTTATGGTATTTAAATAATCCACAGTATTTCTTCCCTCAATAGGAAAGAGGAGGATTTTCTTTCTAAAATTGCAATCCTATTAGCCAGGCATGGTGGCACATGCCTGTAATCCCAGCACTTGGGAGGCTGAGGCAGGAGGACCACCACAAGTCTGAGGCCAGCCTGGACTACACAGTGAGACCCTGTCTCAAACTATTTTAAAAAAAAAAAAAGCAATTCATGCAGTTTTTAAAGTTTAAAGTTGGGTGCATTTCTTCTAAATTATTTTTTCCCCTTGAGCAAAATGCAACCCAGAATCTTGTCTGAACTACATTCTTTTCTTTTCTTTCGTTTGTTTTAGTTCATATTAGTAACTGAGAATAACGGCATTCGTTTTGGCACATTGGTAGCATGCACATAAGACACTTTGATTACTGCCCTCTCCTGGTACACTGCTCTCTCTTCAGCTCCCTCTCCCGTGATTCCTTCCTCGCCTCTAACGGTCTCCCTTCTACTTCCCTCACATCTCTCTACAGAACTCCTCCTATAAGAGAGCACATGGGGTGTTCATCTGAGTCTAGCTTATCTCACTTATTACTTTATGGTCCTCAGTTCCATCCATTTTCCTGCAGATGACTGGACTTCATTCTTCTTCCTGGCTGAATTATACTCCGTTGTATCTAACCCACCTTTCCCTTGTCCACTCCCTTATTGATGGGCATAGAGGCTGTGTCCAGTTTAGCTCATGCGAGCTGCCCTTCCGTCAGTGTGGGTATGCAGCCTCACTGTCATACACCGTCTTTAATAAAAGCTCAGTGTTCGCTAGACGTGGTGATGTACATCTGTCATCCCAGAGCTCAAGAGGCTGAGGCAAGAGGACCACTGTGAATGCAAGGCCAGCCTGGGCTTGTGAGTCCAAGGCCAGCCTAAACTCTACAGCGAGACCCTGTGTCAAAAACCCAAAGAAGGAAAGAAAAAAAAAAACCAAACTCAGTGTTAGCTATTCTTATATCTTGATTATGATGTTACAGTGTAAAAAGGTTATTTTTCAAGAATGGTATCAATCAAGTAACTGATTTTTAAAAATAATAATCAAAACTGTAGTAGCACATTTCCCTGAGAATGTATGGCTATGTGTGCAAGAGACCCCAACTCAGGAGGCTGTGCTGGGTGGGAGCATGGAGCCTGGCCAGGCCCAGGCCAGGCCCTTTTCTGCAGCTCCCTTCTGGACTCCAGGCCTGGAAGACGTGAACACCTGACCCTGGGGTTGCCCAACCAGAACCACTGTGCTCCTTTCCTACACGGTTGTGAAACTATGGAATTGGCCCTTGTCGAGGAAGATGAATGTCATCTAGCTGGCTTTTCAAAGAAGGGTGTGAACAGGAACATGAATAATACTCACTTAATTAGAAACCTAGGCTTGGACATAGCAGGCTTTTTCCACACACCAAGAATTTGCAAGATTTCTGTTGAGAGTCATGCCTTTTAGTGGGCAGAGCCAGCTGACCTCATTAGAATAAAGTAAACAAGTTCAGCCCATTATAAGTGGGAAAAAGATGCATCCTCATCTGCGGGCTGCAGAGGCGGCCACCAGCAGGAGAGCTCAGGCCATCAGGACAAGCCTCAGGCAGCATGAGTTCCAAGTCGAAATCCGTGGGTGTCATCGGGGCCCCTTTCTCAAAGGGACAGGTGAGTAAAAAGCCCTGCTTGGAAGGGCTGGCAGGGGAATTTTTGGACTTTCAAACATGTGAGTTATTACGGTCTTGTTAATTAAATTTTCCCTTACGTAATCTGGCCAAAGGGTGCATGTTTTAAAGTTTTCTTACCATTTTGTGACATTATCTTGCCATGGTCTGGGCTCCACACCCCCGCTTAGGACCCCTGTTCTCTGCCACACTTGGTTTGGTGTAAATCTACTGAATGTTTGCTCACGTTTAAGGGGAAAAAATTTTTTTTATTTGAATCAAAATGCACCATTTCTGTGTAGTAGCTCCTTCTCTGGTTTTAGTTGCTCTTGTTGGCTTGAATGTCTCCTGAGGATGTAGAGGGAGAATTTTAAGAATACCTTTGCTTGACTGTGTAACAGATGCTTAGAAAGTTTTCATGGGTTGGTGGCCAGCTTTAGACTTCTTCTAAATATCAATTGCTTTATGTGACTCTGTGAATGATTCATCTTCTCTCGGGGGTTTAATGATTCTATAAAAGTTCGGGTAGAATCCTCCCTGTACTTCTCTTGGGATGGGGAACAGAAATCCTGCATGTGGGCCATGCTGACAGGAAATGAGCTTGTGAATCTCCAAGACCGCCTTGGGCTGGGGATTTAACTCAGTGGTTTTGTTGCGTGCCTCACAAGCTCAAGGTCCCGAGTTCAATCCCCGGTACCAAAGAATAAAAATAAATAATAAATAAATTGTCACACTCACTCCGACAGTTAGGAGATGACAGAATGCGTCAGACTTCAACAGGGTCTGTGCTGAAAGAAGGGGAAAAAACCCAAAGAAGATAATTCACGAGCTGAACCTCCTGATACTGATTCTTTTTTAAAGCGGTTGTTCCCAGTTGCTCAGAATCCAGGACTTTCTTCCCCTCTTAGTTTTGAATACTGTGAACTCTGACTTTTTATTGCAACACAACATTGGGAGAGCTCAGGGCTAGAAGCCCAAATGACGTTTGGACTGTGAGTAAATACTACTTCTCTTCCAAAGACCTCTCCCGGAACACAGGGGCATTTGCTGACCTGTGTTTCTTTTCAGAATCCATGATAGGCTCATCTATTCTTGGGACAGATTATGACTCAGATAGAAATGAAAAAACTGACCAAAAATAAGAAGGAAATAAGAGGATAAGGGAGAGAAGGAAGGAGGGAGGGAGACCAGACAGGTTCTGGCCCGGGGCCTCAGCGATCCCTAACCCTAACTGACAGCCCCTTCGGGGGATAACGTGTTGAAACACAGCTTGGTATATTTCCGCTCTGTAATTCCCCCAGAACGCCTCCCGTTGGAGCATAGCCACAAAAATGAAGCTCACTAGCTGGTTGTAGTTATGGACACCTGTGATTCTAGCACTTGGGGGGCTCGGGTAGGAGGAACCCTGGGAGTTCAAGGCCAGCCTAGACTACATAGTGAGTTTAAGGGCAGCCTGAGCCACTGTCTCAAAAAAAAAAGAAAAAAAAAGAAAAGAAAAAGAAAAGAAGCTTAATGTCATGATTGTAAGGACTTGCTGAGATAAATTGCTCTATATTAAACCATACATTAGAGGCAAAATATGGATAAGATGTAAGCATTTGTCCCTACCTTAAAAAAATGGTTAAAGGTAAAAAAGAATAGAAGGCAGATGACCACAATTTGAGGAAGAGCTGCTTTCCTTGCCTGACCCCTTGCAAGGCAGTGAGTAAACAATGAAGCAAGCGTTATTTTTCTCTAGGTTATAACAGAAAGGCTATGGAGCACAAAAAGCAATGTCCAAAGTGGGTAGATAAACTAAGTAATGAGGAAAGGCCAGTCACAGCCAATCTTGGTGTTGCACTCTTGTAATCCCAAAGCTCAGGAGGCTGAGGCAGGAGGATTGCCACAATTTCAAAGGCCAGCCTGGGCTACATAGTGAGTTCAAGGCCAGTCTGGACTACATAGCAAGAGCCTCTCTTAGGAGAAAAAAAAAATAATGAGAAGCAGTTTGAACCAAACAAATAGAAAAGAATGCTAGAAAAATGTGTGAGAAAGTCTATGACTGTCTTACAGCAAATAGTGTCACCTCAGGGATGAGGTTTGTTCTAGCTTCTGAAGGGGAAAGGGCATAGGGGCCATGGGGTAGCTGCAGGATACACTGTGTGTCAGAAATACTCTGCTGCATACAGGGTCCCGGGGGTAAAGAGGTTTAGACCAAAAGCTGCAACGGAGGAAAGACAACAACAGACACAAGATTAAAGGCAACATAGGAACCAAGTAGCACTTTACTGAGGGCCAAACAGGGAGACATTACAACTGCTAAGACATTGCTTTGTAAGTACAATTTTGAATTAATTCACCACAAAGAAATGATAGGGCCTGGGAATGTAGCTCAGCGCAAGGTCCTGAGTTTGAGTCCTGGCACGAGAGAGAGAGAGAGAGAGAGAGAGAGAGGGAGAGAAAGAAAGGGAGAGAAAGTCAGTCTGCGGTGAGATACACTCATGACCCTGAGGTGATTATCACAGCGTATAGAGGCTCAGGACCTCACACAGTACTTTATACACAAGTCAGATGTCATATGCCAAGCAAAAACTAAAATAAGAAAAAGAGAGTGGAGTAAAAGAAGCAAAGTTGTTGGAGAGCAGGTGGGGTCCCTTGTCATCAGGGATGGGAATTCGACTTGGCCTATGCCTGACACCCGGGACAAGTCGCCCCGTCCCGAGCCTAGAGACAAACACAGGTCTTCTGATGGATCGTCTCAACTGACAGAAATAAATAACTGTGTGTCTGACGGATCTGTTGGAAAGCAGAATGAGAAAGGTGCAGGACAGGGCTATTTCTTTAGACCTCTACCAGCCCAGGGCCCAGCAGGAGGGGGAGCAGCAGCTCCCGTCAGAGCTCGAGTTTCCTGGGTTGGTCTTATTTGTGCTTTTGTCTCCTGGGAGATGAGTTTTCCTGTATCCCCAGCTTTCTGCTTTGAGGACCTGCCTGTAGGTTTGTCGTCTGTGCTGTCCCCCCGATGTGCGGAGTTTCTCCCTCACCTGTCCTGTTTTCCTGACCACTTGCTCCGGAGAGAGGCGGTCTCAGCCTCCACCCTGTCCCCAGCCGAGTAAGAAGCACCTGTTTCCACCCCAGGACACAGGGCACCTGCCCTGCGCCTGTCACCACAACGCTATGTCTGCATTTTGTTTCCTTACAAGCAAAGGCGGGCACTGTCTGGTGTTCGTTGTCCTGTCCCCGGTAGTATGTGTGCCACATGGTGCGGTGGGAACAGGGGGTGCTGATCTTGGAGCCCAAAGACCCGGGCGGTCCCAAGTGCCTGCCAGCCAGCAGCCGTGTGCCAAGGAAAACTCCTTTCATTTGTCGCAGGAGTGATTCCGCTTACCTCACCGCGAAAGTCACCGAGAGAGTGAGAATTGCCTGGTGAAACAATGAGAGCTACTCTTCCACTGATCACAAGATGAAAAAGCGCTCATTGTGTGCTTTTGAAGGTCAGGGCATAGACTGAAGTTCTTTATTTTCTGACCATTCAGCCTCGAGATGGGGTAGAAAAAGGCCCTTCAGTGTTGAGATGTGCTGGTCTGCTGGAGAAACTTAAAGAACAAGGTAATTTTTCAATTGAGAGGTGATCGCCCGATTCCCTCCCTACTTCGGGAACACGGACCGTGTCTCGAGTGCTGTTTATACCACAGAACTGTGGCACCGGCTGCGATTTTAGAACCACATTCTGTTAAAAAGCAGGGCAGGATCCAAAGCGTCAATAAGCATTGTTGGTTGGAGATCTTGACTCAGGTAGTTTGTCTTTCTCTCTAGCCAAACTATTGTACAAAAGCACCTATGCGTGCAGGGAGTGGTGCCCGGTGGGTGGGACGGGGACTGGGGAAATGAAAATGAAAAACAGCCGGGCGTGGTGGCGCAAGCCTATAATCCCAGAACTGGGAGGCTGAGGCAGGAGGATCGCTGCGAGTTTGAGACCAGCCTGGGCTACACAGTGAGTTCCAGAGCAGTCTGAACTACATAGTGAGACCCTGTCTCAAAAAACCAAAAAAAAAAAAAAAAAAAAAAAAAAGAAAGAAAGAAAAGAAAAAACAGCAGGCCACAGGAAGCACCCTACTCAGGAGCGGGTACTCGAGGAGCAGTTGGAACCCTCCTCTGTCTCCAGTGGGAATACAAGTGGCTCAGTCACTTTGGAAAGCACTTTGGCAGTAAACATCTATTTTTCTTTTGACCTAGCAGTTCTACCTCCTGATATTTGCCCAAGAGAAAACAAATATCCACATAAAGGCTTGTACTTAAATAAGTAGCAGCCATGTTTACGATATGAACAAAATGGAAACAGAAAAAGGCCTCTCAGTGGTGAGCGGACACAGAAGGCAGTCACGCCGTACCGCGGGGTGGCGCTCAACAGTACAAAGGACCAGGCCAGCAACACGGAGTCGGGTGCCAAGAAAGGCCCGACATGAAAGGCAGCCTGCTGGGTGATTGCAGCCGTGGGCAGTTCTGGCGAGACAGAAGCACGGCCAGAGAGAGCCAGGCCGAAGCTGCCGGGTGGGGCAGGAGCGGCCGTAGGGAGGTGGAGGCGTTTCCCACGCTGCCTGCCTGGCGGGGGATGAGATGGTAGATGTTGACCCGTGCACTCACAGTGAGGGACTTTGAGTGGATAAGAATTAGACCCCTAAGCGGGGGGCACACACCTGTAGTCCCAGCACTCTAGGAGGCTGAAGCAGGAGGATCGAAAATTCCAGTCCAGCTGGGCAACTTAGCGAGACCCTGACTCAAAATTTAAAAATGGGGGGCTGGGGATTTAGCTCAAGGGTGCTGCTGCCTGCCTCATAAGCACAAGGACCTGAGTTTGATTCCCAGTACCAAAAAAAAAAAAAAATGAAAAAAGGCCTGGAGATGAGGCTAAGTGCAAAAGCAGTAAACTGCTCCTCTGTCAGTTTTACAGGAAACTCTCTTTTTTGTTGTTTCTTCAGTACTGAGGAGGGAACCCCGGGCCTTCACACTGAGCTACATCTCCATCCCTTCTTGTTGGCATTACTATTATACAGTACTAAGGGTCGAAACCAGGCCTCTCACACTGAGCTACCTGCCCAGCCCTTTTTATTTTTATTCTTTGTGGTACTGGGGATTTAACCCAGGGCCTTGGTTTCTTAGCTACGTTCCCAGCCTTTTTTCCGTGTTTTGGCACAGGGTCTCACTAAATTGCTGAATTGCCCAGGCTGGGTTCACCCTTGTGAGCTTCCTGCCTCAGCTTCCCAGAGTGCCAGGATGACAAGCCGGTGCCACCGTTCCCGGCCGGAGCTCTAGTTTTGAAGCCTTTGGTGGGGCTGTTTAGCAGGCAAACCCATATTCTTAGGAACGGGGTTACCCGTAAGTTTTTCTTCTTAAAAGCATACGGGCTTTGTTTCCTGAATTCTCTAAAGTTCGGGGTCAGGCTCAGAGCTAAGGGAATTAACCCGAATATCAGCACCCGAGGCAGACAGTCACCAGAGAGGGAGGTGATGAATCACATCCAAACCAAACACTGTTCATCGTTAACAGCCAGACAATGGAGGAAACATGAATGTACTGTCTTTTGGACCTATTAACTATTTATTAAAGAACCACAGAACCAAGATGAGCCCATTACAGAAAGACAGAAAGCACACAGCAGACAGACAGGGCAGAGACATCAGCAGCGATGTCCCTTGTTAGGTCCAAAGCGGAAAGTTATTGGCCCTGAGGCTGGCATTCTGTCTAACCGGGTCTACCAAGATGAAACAGGGCTTGGGCTCAGCAGGTGGAGGAGCTGGCAGGGAGATCAGCCAAGGCAGCCTGATCTCACCCTTCACGGTGTTTACTGCTTGCCGCAGCTGCTTCTTTGCTTCTGCCTTTGAAAACATCCTGATTTTCTGTTTGGAACCATCCTACACACAGTTTTGCAACCTGTTTTGATAACTGGCAACCTTCTGCTTGACTCTAGAGTGTGATGTGAAGGACTTCGGGGACCTGTCCTTTGCCGATGTCCCCAATGATGCTACCTTTGGAATCATGAAGAACCCCAGGACCGTGGGGAAAGCCACCGAGGAGCTGGCGCGTGTGGTGGCCGAGGTGCAGAAGAGCGGCAGAGTCAGCCTGGTCCTGGGCGGAGACCACAGGTGTCCTGTGGGGCGGGGTCCCCAGGGTGGGAGGGACTCGGCGGAAAGGGGAGTGTGACTAGATCGCCCAAAGGGACGACCCTGTAGACAGAGAAGCACTGCCTGATTCTTTACACCAAACTCTCTGCCTTTACAGAACATTGTACCTATAGGCTATTTTACTATGGAAACTACTGTAGCACTGTTTGGAGTCATGCACTATGTTTGCTGCAGCAGAAAATGCACAAAATGAATGGACATCAGCACATCAGGTGCAGGCTCACATTTCTAAATAAATAGCACCGGGGAAACCCATGGCTTATTCTACTTGAACACTGACAATACACACAACTTTTGTGGTTGGCTAACAATTTCACAGTACGTGCTTTCCATTATAAAACTTCTGAAAGCACACACACACACACACACACACACACACACGCGCGCGCCCCACAAGAAAAAGGTGTGACCCAGGGCTTTGGCAACAAAGCTGCATTCTGAGAGTGGAGCTCAGAATGTCCATGTTCTTATTTTTAAGTGGAGAAATTTATAACTGGAAATTTTAAGAGGAACAAGCAGCCAGAAGAAAAAACCTGAAGGGAAACTAAACATCAGTCAGCACCTGGGCTTTGAGGCATGATTAACCCCCTTTGATAATCTGATACATCACGATTCTGGTTCTGTTTGGGGCTTTTGGCTTTTTGAGACAGGGAGGGTCCCACTGTGTAGCCCAGGCTGGCTCTGGATTCCCGGCGATCCTCCTGCCTCAGCCTCGAGAGTGCTGGGATCACAGGTGTGTGCCGCCACACCTGGTGAGTTCACAGTACTTCGAGTGATACTGAAATGCTCAGAAGCGGGAGGCATCAAAACAGACATCGTTTTGGTTTTGTTTCATACTTTTTATTTTATCAGTAGGTGTTTGCATTACACATCAATTACACTGGCTTGGGGAGTCGGCCCATGTCCATACCTGCTCTGAATTCTTTCCCGCTCCCCTCGGTCTCGGGTCCCCTTGCCACTGCAGTACCAGGACACCCACTCTACTAACTTCTGTGCCCCAGCCCCAGCTCTGCCGCTGGGGAGTCAGTCTGGAGCTGGGACACTGGGGACACACCCAGCCCCAGGTTACAGCAGAGGATCGGAGCCCCGCGGAGCGAGACCCGCTGGACCCCACTTCTGAGATGGCCGGGCTGTGAGAATGAAAGAGCTGCGTTTTAGAAAAACCGAGGGACTTCATCATGAATCCCTGAGTCAAAGGAGAACTTACCGAGAGAGACGCAGGCGTCACGAAGGAGCCAGACCTAACCCGGAGAAATGAATGGCGTTTTATACAGTGTAGGGTGTTAGGGCCCCGTCTGTGAGCCCTCAGGAGCCTGGGCTCCGGGCTCTGCTGTTAGAAGGGCGTGGCGGTGACCCTGGAAGCCGCTGTTCAGACTTGGAGCAGCCGGGGCCACTGCGGCGGCCCCGTACTTGCTGCGCGCGATGGCTCCGCGAACGTGACGTTCACCCAAGCTTCTCTCTCCAGCCTGGCGATCGGCTCCATCTCCGGCCATGCCAGGGTCCACCCGGACCTCGGTGTCATCTGGGTCGATGCCCACACGGATATCAACACTCCTATGACCACCACGTCCGGCAACATGCACGGCCAGCCTGTATCCTTCCTCCTGAAGGAACTGAAGGGAAAGGTAAAGCCGGCCTGTGCCGCAGGGCGAGCAGGGAGCATCTGTTTTTGTCGTTAGCTTTGCAACGGGGTCTGGCTCTGTAGGCCAGGCTGGCCTTAAATTTACGGTGGTCCTCCTGCCCCAGCCTCTTAAATGTGTGCCAGCACGCCGAGCCATTTTGATTTTTTGGTGTAGCAGAAAGTAATTTTTATAAACAAGTTAGAACGGAGTCAAAGGTCAACCAACTCACCCAAGACCCTGTGTCAGGATATTTTGAGGAAGGGGCCAGAACGAGGTCTCTAGTTCCTACCTCCTCCCGTTCCTATTTTCAGGGCTTTTCTTTATCAGTGTTGCTGTACATCATAGACTCTTTTTAAGAGTTTAAAGCCAAATACAGTGATTTATTACATAATATCTTCACCATGAGAAGCACCTATCTTAAATCATAAGAGGAAGGAATTTCTCCCTGGAAACTGCTTTCCTCTAAGAGTCACAACTCCAGATTAAGATCTAACATTATGGAGCACAATTTTTATTGATACGCTGCCGTCTGTCAATAAAATCACTTTTAATTATTATAGTTGTAACATTACTGGCCCTCGTGATGATTTGAAGGGACTCAAACCTCCTTATGAAACACACTCAAAATAATTTTTCTTTGAGACGATGACCAAGGTCGCTTACAAATGTGCAAAATGTCACCAAAGCTGGATCCAGGATCAAGCGGATGTCGGCGATCACAGCTGGGTGTTAAGAGCGACCCCAGGCCTCCCCCGACTTTCCCCCAGCTGCTCGGGCATCCTGGGTAGGGATTAAGGCTGCCCTGAGAAGGAGCTTCTGAGGCCTCGGGTTCGAATCCGGGAAAGCAGCTTCTGGGCCACGGGCAGTGCTAGTAAGGCTCAAAACACCAAGGCTCCTGCCAGCGGAGGCAGGCACCCAGCTCCCTAATTTTGTGATCTTTAAACGATTCGCTCCAAACTTGCATTCTGAATGTTAAGATCCACTCAATTCTGCACCCACCCTCATGCCGCCTACACACGCCCACTTGTGTTGCAGATGCCGGACGTCCCGGGCTTCTCCTGGCTGACGCCCTGCCTGTCGGCCAAGGACATCGTGTACATCGGCTTGAGAGACGTAGACCCGGGGGAGCAGTGAGTTGAGCCCTCCACGGGGCCTGCCTTCACTCTTATTCGTGTGTGCTAGAGGTGTTTACTGGCCAAATCTCTAGGAGAAAACACTTTAAACAACAAGTGAATGTGTGTGTCTGTATTTGTACGCATTTACATACATGTAACTACGGGCAGCTTATAGGAGATTGATTTGCTGTTAGACGCCGCTCTATACGTACATATTCACACAGGTCACAGAAGGTAAATGTACACGTAACTGGGGCAGAGTCAGCCTCACTGACTGCAGATTATCTTGGTAACTTCTTGCACAGCTACATTGTGAAGACCCTGGGTATCAAGTATTTTTCCATGACTGAGGTGGACAGACTGGGCATCGGCAAGGTGATGGAGGAAGCGCTGGCCTACCTGCTGGGAAGGTACGGCGAGTGTGTGCTGGCGGGGAGGCAGGAGGACGCTGGAGGCCACGTCAGGGGTCGAGCCCCGAGCTTCACCGGACACCACCACCAACTTTAACCCTCTCCCGCTCTTTCAAAGAAAGAAAAGGCCAATTCACCTGAGTTTTGATGTTGATGGGCTGGATCCTTCCATCACACCAGCGACGGGCACGCCTGTGGTGGGAGGTCTGTCTCACAGAGAAGGTGTCTACATCTCCGAAGAGATTTGCAGGACAGGTGGGTAAGAACCGGAAGCAGGTCTGAATGCGGCCCATAGGTACCCACGGCTCCCTGGCCTGAAAACCAAGCCCCACGGACAGGTCCAGGCGCCGGTCACACGGTGCAGTAGCTGAACGATTTTCCCTCGGTCACCGTCTGATGTTACGGGGGAGTCTTCGAAGTCAGTATGTACTGATCTGAAAATGTCGAGCTCACAAACTACCTTCTCGCTGTTTGTTGGTTTGCTCGTAGGGCTGCTCTCCGGGCTGGACATCATGGAGGTAAACCCTGTTCTGGGCAAGACGCCGGAAGAAGTCACTCGCACGGTCAACACGGCAGTGGCAGTGACTCTGGCTTGCTTTGGAGTTGCCCGTGAGGGTAACCATGACCCTAAGATGGACTACCTTTCACCACCTAAATAAATGTGGAAACACTACAACCTCACAGCTAATGGCACGATTAGCAAGGGTGGTAATTTATTGAAGCCTGTAATTATCCTCTCGAAGATGTGTTCTTTCAGAAAGGTGTTCTCCCAATTGGTGTAACAAAGTGAGCGGGACAGAAGCCACCTTAGGCCTCTGGTTTGAAACTGAGTCTAAGCCAGCTTGTGACAGTGGCGAGCTACAGCCCGTTGCCAGTGTGGCCACTCGTGTGGTGCCCGGAGGGTGTGGTAACCACAGGGCCTGCGTGCCAAACGTGACTTGAGCAACACAGGAAAAATGTTTTCTAAAAGTGTATTTCTGCCACTGGGAGATTAGCACGTTTGTGCCAAGCTCCTTGCGGCACGGAGTGGACTGGGCCCCCGGGTGATGCTCTGCGGAGCTGCCCGTGACCGGCTCTGCCCACACATCCCCAGGTCAGAGTCCAGGGCTGGCCCCTGGCCCCGTGTGCTCCCCGGGCTGGTGCTGGCTGGGGAAGGCAGATCCCACCCTGTGGGCACCGCCTTCAGCTCCCAGCTTAGGCTGTGGTGGGCGCCCTGTGTCTTGCTGTGAATGTGGAAAATGCTTAATAAACTGCTGCATTCAGGACAGGGCTTGGCTCTCAGGGTCTTTGTGGGGCAGACACGCCAACTCTGCATGGCTTCTTTGAGACCTAGGGTGGCCCAACTCAGAGGCCTCTTGGCCTGGAGAGTGGCTCCGAGTCCACCTGAGACAGATAAGTTCTACCAATTCCCTGTCGGTATGAAGTTCAAGATTTGGCAATTCTAACTTTTGTGGCATTAAAAAGTTTGTTTCCGCTTTTGGCAAAAACTTATCCTTCAATAAAGAACATTAATTTCCAGTTAAAAATGTGCTGGCATTTAAAACATACACACAAAGAAAAGTGCCCCCCCCCACAGAGTGGGTGTCCCGATATTAGAAAATAAGGCTGTGCAACCTAGAATGATACCACGTGTCCGTGCTACTTAAAAGTTTTTTTTTTGTTGTTGTTGTTGTTTTTTAGACAGGGTCTCTCTATGTAGCTCAGGCTGACCTTGAACTTGTGGCAATCCTCCCGCCTCAGCCTCCCAAGTGCTGCGATTACAGATATGTGCCACCATGCCCAGCTAAAATATTATTTTTATAATAAACTTTTTTTTTTTGGCACTAGGAATTGAACTCAGGACCTTGTGCTTGCAAGGCAGGCACTGGCACCACTGAGCTAAATCTCCAGCCCATATAATAAACTCTTTATAATAAAATTTGTCTGCATATTTCTAGATACATACAAGACACACACACTACCCGACTACTATAAAGATTTAAAATACGTGAAATCATCATCCCCCAAACATTGTTAAGGTCTCGGTGAAGCTATTAACACTCTCTAGTTCTGGTTTCCTCATTTGTAAAATGGATAATCATAGGCTCAGGCAATCTCCAACTTTACTGACACTGGATGATCTTATTTTACTTTTTCTAAATTTCAAACAAGGTATTATTGTTGATGTTGTAAGCACAGACTACTATTCAGATGAGCTTATGAGAAATACAAGCTATTCCTGAAAATCTATTCAGGAGCTGGGGAAGTCAAACTGATTATTTTATTTCTAAAACCTGCTCGTTCAGATCGGCATTTCACTTAAACTATCTGTGGCTTGGGCTGGGGATTTAGCTCCATGGCACCTCGCCTACCTTATAAACACAAGGTCCTAAATTTGATCCCCGGTAACAAACAAACAAAAAAGATAAATTACCTGTGGCTTCCAAACATCCCAGCCTTCATTCACTGCAACTACAGTACGTCTTGTCAGTGAAAATCCCTGAACATCCTACAGACTCCCTGGGCTCAAGGAGTAGACTGAGCAAAGAGGAAAAACAAACGTGAGTCATGTCAAAAGAAGGAAGCACCCCGCCTCCCTCACACAGGACCCTGTGAACTCTGGAATGAAGCAGCCTCCACAGGGGAGTTTTTATCGTGCTGCTTTCCCAGATCTGTGTTAAGGAGCTTTGCCAGACATGGTGGTGCACGCCTGTGATCCCAGCATCTGAGAGGCTGAGGCAGGAGGATTACTGTGAGTTTGAGGCCAGCCTGGACTACACAGTGAGACCCTGCCCCCCCGCAAAAAAAAGCCCCTACACTTAATTTCTCACATGTAATACAGAATTTTAAACCTAATTACTGCTTCTATTGCTCTTGTATAAGTACTTTATCAAAATACTTCTAATTATGATTTATCCTTCAAGCAGTATACTGTCTAGTACAGTAGTGGCATGTAATTTTTCATATAATTTAGCTCAGTTCCACATTTCCCATGTCTAATGGCGGTATGCAGTTCTAACTGCTGTGGTGGGTAGGTACAAAGCATTTCTGTCACTGCAAATGCTAGACCGCACAGATCTGCTACAAAGTCACCAATTAAATATCTTTTTAGGACATAATGAACACAAAGGCATTTTCATCCCTCAGCTATATTCTTTTCTTGGGATTTTTTTTTTTTTTTTTT